TCAGCACTAACTAGATTTTAATTATTAAGTCCAGTGGCGTCTCATGGGGCACCACAGCCAATTATTATTGAGAAAAAATGTACGCCACTGACTTTTTTGTGGTTTTTTATTTTTTTTTCCAGATTAACCAACTAAAAATACAACTTTTATGTCTCTTGTGTTTTTTTCATATCTAACTTTCTTTTCCAGAAAAAAAATAAAACTACTTTAACTCATTCTAAAAACTATCCCTGAAACAAAAACCAAAAATACACAACTTAAGCAACAAAAAATACAACTTACTAGCTGACATTGATAGTATTTTCAATCATGAATAATTTTAATAACGCAGAAATGGCTGACATGCATTTTATTTATAGTTTAGCAAATGGAAATGCTGAAGAAGCAAGGAGAATTTACCAGGACATACATCATAATAGAGTAATTCAATGCGCTAAAACATTTAGAACGCTACATGCGAGATTATGTGAAACTGGGAGATTTACTAAAAATACGGGTGGTGGAAGACCAGAAACCGTAACAACAGAAGCTGTGTTTAATGCAATAGAAGAAGATCCTTCAAATAGTACCAGAAAGATTGCACTACAGCTTGAAGTTAGCCCAAAAACCGTTTGGAAAGTATTAAAAAGAAACATACTGTATCCATATCACATTCAGCGGGTCCAAGCTTTATTGCCTCGGGATTTTCACCCAAGGTTATTATTTTGTAGATGGTTAGTTCATATGATGGCATACAATAATAACTTTATACCAAATATCTTATTTACGGACGAAGCAACTTTTTAACTAGATGCCATTAGAAACTTTCACAATGAACATTTTTGGGCTGACGAAAATCCCCACGTTATTAGAGAAAGTAATTTCCAGCAACAATTTTCGCTAAACGTTTGGTTAGGAGTTATTGGCGACTACTTAATGGGCCCATTCTTTTTACCAGCAAGATTAACAGGTGAATCATACACGGACTTTTTGCGACATCATTTACCCATTTTGTTAGAAGAAGAACCCCTAGATGTAAGAATCAACATGTGGTTTATGCACGGCGGAGCTCCAGATCATTTCAGTGTTCTTGCACATCAGCATCTCGACGTCACGTAACCTAATTGCTGGATTGGACGTGCAGGACCTCAAAATTGGCCGGCTCGCAGTTCTGATATAAATCCTCTAGATTTCTATTTATGGGGTTATCTGAAGGCTCTTCTTTATAAAACTCCTGTGCTAGATGTTGAGGACTTAAGGAATCGGATAATTGACAATTGCAATGTCATAAGGAATTCTCCAGGTATTTTTGAACGTGTCAGACGGTCAATGACAAATCGATTGCAATCGTGTATTTTATCAGAAGGTGGACTTTTGAACATTTACTTTAAGGTTTATTTTTTATTTTTGGTTTTTGTTTTATGTTGTTCCGTGATAATTTTTGTCTGGAAAACGAAGTTAGACATGAAATAAACACAAGAGACATAAAAGTTGTATTTTTAGTTGGTTAATCTGGAAAAAAATAAAAAACCACAAAAAAGTCGGTGGCGTACATTTTTTCTCAATAATAATTGGCTGTGGTGCCCCATGAGACGCCACTGGACTTAATAATTAAAATCTAGTTAGTGCTGAATAAGCATTATGATTTATTTAGTACGTATCGTTTTTTTATTATCATAATCAATAATTATCACATTGATCCGTTTCTAAAAGTAGTATGCCACTTGATAATTTTAACTAAAAATACGTCAAGTGTTGATTACCTATTTTAAATACCAAATTTAATCAAATATTCTTATACGAAAAGATAAATCTTAAAATTGAATTTTGAAGGGCTTTATGTCTTTTCTGAGGAAGTTTTGAAGAAAATAAAACAATGCATGTCGAGTTATTTTTCAGTGAAATCCTGGGCGGAAAAAGTGATGTACGCCAATGGACAATTTTGACAAAAGTTACTTGGGTCAAGTAACGAGTATCTACTTCATAAGTACTTGTATCAAAGTTGCTGAAAAACGCTTTGGCGATCTTAGAGTTAGAGTTATGACAAAAAAAAGATATTTAAAACTGAACTTTGCAGGACTGTATGTTTTTTTTTAAACTCAATTATCTCGTAAACAAAGCCTTAAATCAAAATTTGACAAGAGTGGCTTTTTTTCTCAAAATTGAACAAGGAATTAGAAAAATAGGTCAATTTAAACCAATATCCAGTGGCGTAAAAAATGGGGTGGAAAGAGTGAAACAACCCCCCTGTATCTACGTCACTGGACAATTTTGACAAAAGTTACTTACGTCAGGTAACGAGTACCTATTTCATAAGTACTTGTACCAAATTTGGTCAAAAACGCTTTTATTTCCTGAGAGTTATGACAAAAAAAAGATTTTTAAAACTCAACTTTGAAGGGCTGTATCTCCCTTAGGAGGGGTTTTGGAGAAAAAAATTACCATGCATGTCGACTTATTTTTCGATGGACTATCGAATGGTGAATTATTGCTACTATAACCTGGACCACCCTGTATATACAGGGTGTCCGGGAAAAGGAAGTCAATCCGTTAACCATATATTCTTTGAGTTAAAACAATAAGACTTTCATAATACCATTTTTCAATTTAGAGCTTCATGTTCGATATACAGGGCGACAAAGTTTGAAATTTAAAACTGATTTTTTTTAATAATTCGAGTAATTGATAAGATATTAAGTTCAAATTCGGTACACTACTTCAACATAAATAGTTACATTTTTTGAGACCAACAAAACAAAAAACAATTGTCAAATAATCAAAATAGGGGGTCCAGTATTCACTGACTCCCCCTATTTTTTAGTACGTGCGCCAATGACTTCCAAGCGGTATTTTTTCAGGTAATCATTTATTGTTGAAAATTTTTTGTCTCTTATAAAATTTTGATAAAATGATTTGTTTTAGAGATAATTTGTAAAGTATGGGTCAGTCCATATCAAATCAACCAAAGGTTCTTCCCCCACCATCTCCGATTTTGATAATTTTTGGTTAATTTGTTTACCTCACTAAAAAACTCAAAAATCCCATATATGAATTTTTTTCGATGGGTGGTTTTTGTTTTATTGATTTTTGAAAATCAAAAAATTCCGATAAATTTGGGTAATTACAAAAATAGCGATATCTCGTAAACTATTAAAAGTAGAAAGGTGAGTGATGGCTTATTTTAAAGGCCTATTAGAGACCTTTTTTATGATATATCATACGACGTAAATTTTTTCAAAAAAAAATTAAATTTCAAAAATTTGATATGGATTGACCCATACTTTACAAATTATCTCTAAAACAAATCATTTTATCAAAATTTAATAGGAGACAAAAAATTTTCAACAATAAATGATTACCTGAAAAAATACCGTTTGGAAGTCATTGGCGCACTTACTAAAAAATAGGGGGAGTCAGTGAGTACTGGACCCCCCTATTTTGATTATTTGACAATTGTTTTTTGTTTTGTTGGTCTCAAAAAATGTAACTATTTATGTTGAAGTAGTGTACCGAATTTAAACTTAATATCTTATCAATTACTTGAATTATTAAAAAAAATCAGTTTTAAATTTCAAACTTTGTCGCCCTGTATATCGAACATGAAGCTCTAAATTGGAAAATGGTATTATGAAAGTCTTATTGTTTTAACTCAAAGAATATATGGTTAACGGATTGACCTCCTTTTCCCGGACACCCTGTATGAACGTTTGTACTGACCTTTTGATTTCGCCGTAGTAGTGCAGTTAACTATAGTTAACTATAGATTTAACTGATAAAGCGTTAAAAATTTTGGGTACATTGCCCATAAAACATTTTCTTCTATTTTATTGTGAAAAACTGTATATAAGAGGTGTGTTCAGAAAATAACGGGAGTTGTTAAATTTCGCGGCTTCGGAGGGTCCGGTTGTCATAAAATTTTATTTATTATGTTGGTATACATGATAAAAACTTTAGCTGTTTTCATTGTTTACTTTGTCTGTGGCAGCCGCTAAGGTTAGACGTGTTTTATGAGCTCGGCGATTTTCGTTCTTTAAAAGAAATGGTCTTTGATCCATTTGTATCCAATTTTGCTTAAAAAATGAAATAAATTCTGTGAAATGTTAACAAAAGCCTATAGTGAGTCTGCTATAAGTAAAACAAGAGTTTACAAGTGGTATAAGAGTTTTCAAGATGGCCGTGAAGACGTTGAAGATGACGAACACCCCAAACGCACAAGCACATTAACAACCGATAAAAACATGGAAAAAGTGGAAGAAATGGTTATAAACCATCAGAGAAGTCGCTGATGATGTTGGTATATCGATTGGCTCAACCCATGAAATTTTTTTAAATGTTTTGGGTAGGATATTTTTTGAACACACCTCGTATACAGTTTTTCACAATAAAAGAGAAGAAAAGAAGAAAAGATTGTTAGTCTATTTTTAAGGGATACATTTTGATTTAAACAGAAAAATTTGAGATTTTAATGTCTGTACATTCCCAAGTTGGAATTTCTAACTGGAATTCCAATAAATACAACCGTTACTTTTTGTACCCTTAACATTTACCGTGTAAGAATTTTTAATACTTTGTGATAATATTTTGCAATTATAGTAATAAAAATAACATATTTTTATAACATAATCATATTTTGAAGTTATTTTAATGTTTTAAAGTATCAATAATTGTTAAATTTAATTAAAATAATATCGGGCAATGTTAATGGTGTAAATTACGTCAAAAATGTTTATTGGGTTACTTTATTTTCGTATAGATGTCGCTATTTACAAATATTTAATTTAATTTATTTTTAGAAAATAATAAGTATTTGTTATACATAATTCATCATTGGTATTTTTTATAAATTAAATAAAATACAATCAACTTTTAAAATATTTAATTGCATCTTATAAATTTTACTTTTATCCCACCGTGGAAATTTAAATTTATGCTTTACATACATACAAGGATGTAATATTCTTTCTAGTATAATTTAAATTTGTTTTGTGTTGGTTGAGAAACGTTGTTTTTTTTCTGTTTCAGCCGCTCCCAGCATACAAATATTTCCGCAGAACGGCAAAATTGTGGCCAAGAAAGGCGGCATAGTCTCGTTTGAGTGCAAAGCCAATGGTAATCCGGGCCCAATTATTCAGTGGTCGAAAAAGGTAAAGAAATACACTTTATGTATGTTTATGTATGTCAAAAAATCTGCGCTCATCATGTTGACTGGTCAATAACTTATTGACAATAAGTAACTTCATAAAAAAGAGTTGGGTTGTTAAGTTTGGGTTGGTTTGGGTAATTCATACTGACATTTCATTAATTTTGTTGTTAATTGTATTTCAATCACTTAATTAAATTTTAATCAATGTTTATACAACTTGAAAGTTAGCTTAATAATTACATAATTAATATCAAGAGTTAACCAGCTGTTTAATAACTGTTATACAACTGGGCCTTAGCATAGAAAAAGGATATTAGTCACTAATCATTAGTGTACCAAATGGTATGGAAACACGCATGCGCACAAACCTGATGTACGTTTAATGCCTGTACTCCCGGTGTACTTCTATTATATATATTATATATAAATATATATATTATAATATATAGTGACTATAGTCACGGCGTACACCGGGAGTACGGGCATTAAACGTACACCGGGTGGAAAAAAATCCTATTTAGCAAATTTTTATATTTGTCAATTGTATAATATTGAATGGTCGCTCAATGGGGCGGGGGAGGCCAATGGGGCGGGGTCGGTTGGGTTGGGTTGTTGAGTTTGGGTTGGTTTGAGTAATTCATACTGACATTTCATTAATTTTGTTGTTAATTGTATTTCAATCACTTAATTAAATTTTAATCAATGTTTATACAACCTGAAAATTAGCTAAATAATTAACATAATTATTAATAAGAGTTAACAAGCTGTTTTCCAACTGTTATACAACTGGGCCTTAGTGTACCAATTTAATCTCAACTTATAAATTTGAAAATTTACCATCAGCTGGTATGGAAACACGCATGCGCACAAACCTGATGTACGTTTATTGCCAATACTCCCGGTGTACTTCTAATCACGGCGAAAATAAATACCTTTCTAAAAATGTTTTATTTTACCATATTTTGTTGTACCATTATATAAATAACAAGTGCTTGTAAATTTAATTTTTATTTGTAGTAGGTATTTCTTTTCTAAAAACAAAATTCAGTTTTTCAATTTTTGCATTTCTATCGTAAATTAGTGTTGCGCATACTGCCTAGTCAATGTGAGAAGTAAAAACCTTTAATCCCCAGATTGACTATCGCATCAGACATTTTGCAAATTGCCTAAAATAGCGTAGTAAATTTGCAGATTGCCCAAGATGGTAGTGATTTTGCACAATGTCTGGTAAATTGGTCAGTTTGCAGAGTATCTAGACATTTCGCACATTGTCGGATTATTCTGATTAGTTGAAGAAATTGTTGTCACATGCGCTCAAAATATCTAAATGGAAATAACTATTACGCTTCTGTCACTTTTGAATCAAAATTGCCATGGAATATTTCAAATGCACGAAAATCTCATCTAAAAATCAAAACCACGTTCTCGATTCCGCTTCATTAAGCAATTACGCGGTTGCCTAATTTAGCTCAGATCGCGAAGCTACGGTGTTCCATAAAATAGAAAGTAAGCCGGCAACACGGCTCTGTCAATTTGTTTATAAATAAAAATGGTTGCAAGTTAAATAGGATGTTCGCCAAATTAGTGGTTTTTATTATGTATTGGTGTTGTTTTATGTTTTAAAAAACGTGTGGAATTAATTAATTAATAATTAGAAGCTATTCATGTTTTGTAGGCAGCATTTGTTAAAAATGTAACCTGTAAGTATTAACATTAACATTTTTAGTAGTTAGGTACCTAGGTATATAGGTACAATAATTATTAAACCAAAGTTTTTCAATAAAATTAATAGTTACATTTTAAACTGTATAGGTAGGCATCACAGAATAATTATTATAAATATTCAATAATTTAATAGGTAGGTACCTAGGTCCCTTTTATTCTAAATTGTTACCAATATTTAAAAGCAGTAGATATTTAATTGATTTATTTAACGTATGAGATAATTTACTACATTTCTTCTCAAGAAAACGCATTAAGAATTTTTTGTAGTTACTGCCTTTCTCCATAGTAGGGTCTACAGTGTTTTGAATTTAAGCTTTGTTTTCAAGTTGTTTAAAGACTATATATATATTCCGTACGTTATAGCTAAATAAGCTTATGTTCTTTGTAAATTAACTAAATAAAAACAATTTGTCTCCATAGAATTTACACAAACTTATAAAAGAATTTATCTCCACGCGGTCTATAATTTAAACTTTATTGTTGTCAACATTCGATAGAGAAATACCTTGTTATGGCCTAGGCTGATAAAATTTTTTATGAGGCAAGTAATTAGTTCAATTTTTTCTCGCTAGGGGTATTGTTTTGACAAATTAATCCTTTTCTAAGAAATTAACGTACTAAACTGGTTTAATTTTATTTATAATAAGCACTAATTTGTTTGTTTTACTGTTAATGTTTAATATTTTTCATTAAATTATTGTAAAATTAAATATGAATAATAAAACAAAAAGTTAGGCAACCAAGAAAACGCACGATTCTTTTTCTACGATTTAAATTATCTTTAAGTTTTAATTTGCTTTAAGTTTTCAGTGAAATTAAATGTTAAACACAGCTTAAACATTTCAAACTACCTATTTTTTAAATAAAAATCCAAACAAATTGAAATTAGATACCTACCTATTTATTAAACAATTAATCGAATTCAATGTAATAGCAAAAATCCATTTCTACTTAAATCATGTTGCTAGGTATTGTCAAACTATTACTGCTTCTTTAAGCAATAATAATTATTGTACATTTAATGTAATCTTTAGCTAATAAATAAATGAGTTTAAAAAAAGTAAGGTTAGGCCGCTTTGATGTTGAATTAAATTGACCTATATAAAGTGCTTTAAAGATAAAATGTTGTATGCCATTCGGCCAAGAAGTGCCTTTTTGTGCTTCGCTCAATTGTAGGCCTCCGCTACGCGTCGGCCTTCAAACCATGAGCTTAGCACAAAAATTCTTACTTCTTAACCTAATGACATAACTAACTATTAGGTTCCTAGACTTCTAGTATTTTTGACATTAATAATAATCTATTCAATTAGAATAATCCAAACCAGGGCCGTGCGTAGGATTTGCTCCTGATGGGAGTTTTAATAAATTTTATAAAAATTTACATTTTTCTTATTTTTTTTGTATTTGAACTAAAATTTTATAAAAAAAAATATTTATAGGTTATTTTAAATTTTAAAGTATTTCAAGTGAAGTTTTATAAAAAAATATGTATTTTTAGGTTATTTTGAGGGGTATTTTTTAGTATTTCAAGTGTAATTTGGTAGTTTTAAACCCTCATGGGGCCTTAATTTACCATACCCATAAATTAACCTTAAAATGTACATTTTACAGTTTGATAACAGCCCTGAGAGAATAAGGTTTATTTTTTTCAAAAGAGGACTACAATGCCCTTAGCACTTTTAAGGCTTACAAGTGCCTCTGTAAGAAACACAACGTTTAAAACGATTTTTAATCGGTATAAACAACACAAACCCAAAGCACAAGAATTATAAACAACAGTTGCAGTCCGTGCAGTGGGTTGCCTAACTTCGTGATTTTTAGTAAACGCAAAACAAGATAGTGCTACGTTCCTGCAACTTCGGCTAGATATAACCGTCAACGTAAGCTAGACAACACTATTTTAAGAATTACAAATTATTTTAATATAACTGTTTTAAGAATGTCAATTCAAGCAAGAATTAACTGTCAAATGTCAACTTAAGCCAGTTATTACTGTTTATAAAGTACACAATACATTCATTAAAACCTTAAAAATTGTAGATTGCATAAGTTAAAGTAGCAAATTGTAAAAAAGTGAACTGTTTTGCAGGATGGCATTCTTCCTTCAGGACTGCAAGTACAATCTGGATACGTGCTGAATTTCAATGAGGTGCGGAGACAGGACGCGGGAATTTACCAATGCACCGCATCGAATGGAATAGGACAACCGGTTACCGGGGAAATCAAATTGCACGTCTTATGTAAGTAGCCAATAAATCGCCTCTAAGTTTTATGCGGTGGAAAATCGATAGAAGGTAGGTTGAAAATATTGAAGACAATATTATGCATTACTAAAAAAATCAAAAAATCAAGACCAAGAAAACATTAAAATGAATAATAATAAACTATTATACGAGAGATAATGCAGGGTATTATTCACGAGGATAAGGTTTGCTTAAATCATCCGAATAAATAATGCGCATAATCTCGAGTGTAATACTATACTTTATCTACTTCAATACGTAGATGATTACTTAATTAATTTCAAAAATATTTAAATAAAATCAGACATCTATGAAATGGTTAACCTTACTTTTTACCAATTTTAAATGTTATTAAAGTCTATAAAGAAGGATTGACTAATTATTTTAAAAATCATTAACTTAATACAACTATTGTGTGTTTTTTTAATAATTTACTTTAATTTCGAAATTATGGTAGTCACCAAATAAATCAAAACAAATAACCTTGATAATCAAGTGTTGCCGGATCATCTAGACGACAATGACAAATTGATTATTTTGGTTGGACACAGTCGACAAGTTAATAAAAATGTACCTATATATTAAATTTATATATTCTCACAAAAATGTATTATGAACTTTAAAATTGATTTTAAAAAATGACTTGTCAAAATTAAATTTTTGGTACTGTTCTTATCTCACCGATTCAATTATTCAATTTGGAAACAAAATTATCTAAGCTGCAAGCGATTTGGTATACCCAGAATGCAACAAAGGTTCGAAAATATTCCAGGAATATGCCCTATCATCCAGGAATAATCCGCTTCATTCTAGGAATATTAATTGGGAATATTCCATAGATTTATCCTGTAAAACTTCCAAGCACCATCCAAGAACATTCCCAGTGAAAATTCATTGGGAATATTTCATAGAATGATCCTCTACAACTTCAAAGCAACATCTTGGAACATTCCCAGTAAAAGTTCTTTATATTCAAAAAACAATAAATAATTTTCTCTTTCTACAAATTCTCTATATTCCAGGAATATGCGCTATTATCTAGGAATATTCTATAGATTTATTCTGTAAAACTTCCAAGCACCATTTAAGAACATTCCCAGTGAATATTCATTGGGAATATTTTATAGAATGATCCTCTAAAACTTCAAAGCAACATCTTGGAACATCCCCAGTGAAAGTTCTTTATATTCAAAAAACAATAAATAATGTTTTCTACTCCTATTACGGAATTTGACCTTTCTAATATCACTTTTATGTATGGAATGACATATATTCCGTAAAGTGTTACAGAATGAAATATTCTATCATCTGACGACAGAATAAACACTCGTGGCGACATCTCTGTTTTTAATATCTAACAAATTTTAGACCGATCCAACCTCACTTTCTTCTAATTAAATTATTTTTCTATGGTATTTTTTGGAAACGTAGAAAAAGTATAGTCTGAAAAACGTTTGGAATTGCATATTCCGCTCTCGTGAAACCGTCAAACTCGCCTTCGGCTCGTGTGACAAACTTTTCACTTGAGCGGAATATGCTGTATTCCAAACTTGTTACAGAATGTACTATTCTCTTTCTACAAATTGGTTATATTCCAGGAATATGCGCTATCAACTTGGAATATTCCGCTTCATTTTAGGAATATTCATTGGGAACATAGAATGATACTCTAAAACTTTCAAACACCATCTAAGAACATTCCCAGTGAATATTCATTAGTTTAGTTGCAATACCTCTCACCGTTGCTTACGCACCACAGTAGTCTGAGAGGCAAATTTACGCGGCAAAAATACAATTTTTAAAACACTTATTATTAAACTGCGAAGTAGAATTTACTGCGTATGCGTTGCGTTATAACAAATACATGAAAGAATTGTCAAAAATTCTCTTACTTTCGGAATCTTGCCTTTTTCGTGTAAAAAGGTGTTGCGTAAATATTATGGTGAAAATTAGTGTCAAAAATTTATAGTAGGGATAAAGTTGAGTACAAATACAACTTTAAAATGTCTGTTTTGGATTTTTTGTCAAAAATATTGCGTTTTTTAACCTACAAATTCTTAAGTTTTGTTATTACAAATAATAAATGGAATGTAAGTAAAAATGTATATTTACTTGCCCAGAACCACATAGTGCATTCGAAAATATGAACCTCCAGCTTCGACTTTATAAAAATTCATCTGCCTTTATGGGCCTATAAGAGAGTTATGCAAAAATGAAAAATGGCCGACAAATTACCGCTAACCTGTTATATATTTTTTAAATTTGACAATAATTATTGCATTTAAGAATGGCAATACAATTTTCTTTACTCCTATTACATAATATTATTTTTTTAATATACTTTGTATATTATACAGTGTGCCCACGGATCGTATTGACAATAGAAAAAAACTTTTTTATAAGGTATGATACGAAAAAAAACATGTTTTTTAAAAACTCTTGCTTTTTTCAAAAATAAGATTTCTACACGAACATTTTGAATGTACAGGGTGTCCCAAATTGGTTGTCCGTATGAGGTCATATCTCTTAACCTAAAAGAGCTAAAAAAAATCTGTCGACACTAATGAATTCTGTGATAAAAAGTGTAGACCTACATAACATTTTAAACCTGTATTCGTAACTCAAATATTAACGAAGCTACAAGCATTTGTCAAAATTGGCAAAAATTGAAAAAATAGGTATATCTCCTAAACAAATGCGAATCGAGAAAATTCAAAGACATCATCCGATGTATCTTTAAAAAAGACGACGGGGATGCATGGTCAAATTTTTTCTAGCATTTATATTTACTGAGATAGCCTATTCGGATAACCAATTTGGGACACCCTGTATAGGGTGCTCAGAAACTAAAAAAAACAGCAAAGTGCTTCAAGAGGGTAGTACAATTGTTCTATAGGAATCTCATTTTTAAAACAAGCAAGAGTATTTAACGCATAATAAAAATAATAAGTTTTCCTATTGTCAACCATCACGATATTGGCTAAAGGGTTGTTAAAAAGAAATATGGTGAAATGTAAAATATTGATATAATAATATATTTTTGATACTTTGAAGGTAAGGGTTTTTCGGTTTTTCATGATAAAAAATTATGCTTGCGCCATGTTGCAATCGCCAAAATTGGCAATCGCCCCCTGGTACCAACTATAAACATTTATTTATTTAATAAATAAATTATTAAATATAAAACATGAAAAAAAACAAAATATACACAAATATTAAAAAAATTAATTTTATATCATTTGGCTAATTTATATATTTCTAAAATACAAAATCTAAGTAAAAGTTGATTTATTCTTCTTTATTTATATACTGTAACTATAGTAACATAACATAGGAGCATCCGTGCAAAACCGGCTAAATCCATTTTATTCAGTTTTTGTTTTATTTTTGATTTCGCATCTTTGGGTTTATTTCTATCGACAACCAAGATAATTCTGTTTAAATCCGACCATATCCATGTTAAAACCACATTTAAAAGGTAGCTTTAGGAGCAAAACCGGCCAAATCCACGTTTTTATAGCAAACCCGGCTATATCCAATAAATAATAATGATGATGAGCATGTGGCTTGGATATGTCGATACTACTACTAAAATTTGTTCTGTTTTTTCATGTTTACACTAAATTTATTTTGTTAATATTTATGAATAATAAAGGTTTTTTTTCTTATTTTATTCGGTGTTTGAGCAAAACCAGCTATATCCAAAACATTTTTTTAAATTTTGGCCTTAATATAAAGTTTTTGAAAACGAAAGTATGTCTTATAAATCAAGTACCACAAAGCCTACAAAACTCAAGTTTGCTTTTTCTTTTATCTGTAAAGGCCAGGAAACGTAGAGTTTTTGCCATTTTCCCAACATTTTATTAAAGTGGATATAGCCGGTTTTGCACGGATGCTCCTCAGTTATAGTTATAGGTTATCTAGATTATAAAAGTAGCAACAATTAAGTTAAGTAGCTATCGTGAAAGCATAATCAAATTAAGTAGGTATGTAATTATTTTTTTCAGATCCTCCAGAGGTAAGCGTGCTGCGCTCGTGGGTGAACTCCGGCGAAGGATTAGAAGCGAAATTAGACTGCATTGTGCACGCGGATCCGCCGGCCGAGGTGAGTACATTTGTTGCTGCTGACGCATAAATCCAAGCGGCGGCGACCTCCTCTAATTACGTCAACTGTAATTGCGTTCCATTGTTTTCCCTTTTAATTAATGTTTATTTATTATCGCCAAATTAACGGCATAGCTGAGATTAATTAGACATATACGGATTACGGATTATGTGTGCTTGTGTAGGCGTTCAATTTAATACTTTTAAAAAATACCCTTACAGAAAAAAATAAAACTAAACATTGAATTAAATTTAATTGATTTAAGAAAAAGAAAACGTTAAATATAGGTCTGTGGTTGGATCTTTTTTTCGCAAAAAGGAGTCCATTGAAAATATCCAATTACAAAATAATGAATGATTTATATAGTTATTACAAAATTATAATTTTATAAATCAAAGTGTCAAATAAAACGAAAGTTATCTGAATACAGCACCGGTAGAATGTTCTTACTGAATTAAAATAAAAGAAATAATTATTATAATCATAATATTACGTTGTATTGTGAATTTGTAATTAAAAAAAAAATGCAAAAGTCAATTTTTCTGAAAATTTCCCAATTATTCTTTTTTTCCTAAAAAAAGGTTTTTTTCTGCTGGCTCAATTTTTCCGGAAATTTTAAAACCCTATACATAAGCCATCTAATATAAATAGTCCCAGTGAAAAATAAGCACCCTGTATATGAAAATGTAATATTTAAATAATTGATTGACACATTTTAAGTGAACGTTTGTTTTAATTGTTAAAACGATTTTCTTTCTCGTATAAAAAAACAAAATTTATTATTAATTTCCATTATTAAAATTGCACGAAAATAAAATTATCAAAAAGGCACCCAAATATGGAATATTTCCATTTTTTCTTATACAGGGTGCGGCATACGTCAGGTTACGGTGTCCGAAACTGCGATTGCGCAAACTACTTTTAAATAAAAATGTCGGTCATCGTGTCACGTCACGTACCATTTTAAAATAGCATATAGCACCCTGTTGACATATCGATGGTTATTTGACAAAACATCGTATGCGACAATTTTGTTGAATTACTTTTTATTTTATCAAAGTGTCAGTTACGATAAGCTGCACATGTTAACATAATAGTTATCCCAAGTTTGGAATCTAATATTGGTCAGTTTGAATATTTTTATTATTGTAAGCGCCTCTTCTTTTTAATTGTTTACCGATTTATAACGTAAGCGCCTATATGTTCCCGACAAATAATCGTAAGCAACTCCGAGACATGGAGTTTGCAATTTAACATTGTGTCGCTTACGATAATATTGTGCTCCCGCCTTGATCTATCAAGGCGTTATTCCCGCTCTAAACAGTTTATTCGTAAGTATACCTGCATCGTGGTGATTGCTACCAAGTTTTAAAACAATATTTTATTTGATCAAAAGCTTATAATTTCTTTTTTTTCATTGCATTATTAATAGTTATCCTAATTATAATTGTTTTTACGTAGTGTGGTTCGTTAAAAGTGTTTTTTGTAGTAATTGTATGTTGTTATAGCGTCAAATAATTTGACTCAAATTTATAACTCTTAGATCATGGAGCCTACACAAGGAGTCCGAACATTATGTTAACAAGAATCTTCCTAAGATAAGAGGGCGCTGGTGTTCCGTTTATTCTGAAACAATTGTTTAATTTGTACCGAAACGCTAGCATCGACAATCAGCGCCGCTGGTGGTGAAAAAAAAGGAACTTAATTTGTACAATTTAGAGGGCTGGTTTTGTCAATTTCCCCTATTAATTCCGGGCTCCTTGTGTAGGCTCCTTGTGTAGGCTCCATGGGTTAGATACTGGTTTATGAATAAAAATCGTCCGTTTTGACAAAAGTAATCGTCAAATATACCACAAAGTAAGGTAAATGTAATTTAATCGACAAGACTAATTTTACATTTTCCTAAAGATGTTCTTATAAAATATCGTATGCCACAAAATTTAATGAAAATTTTAAATTATATTCGATCTTACTTTAATATTTGAATTCTACATTATTAAATGCCTAACCAGTTTTCAGATAAATAACTTTAAAAATAAAGCTCCCACACAAAAAAATCTCTCCTGTAAAATTTAGGTTTTGTCGCTTACGATGTTTTGTCAAATAACCATCGATATATTCACATTAATATTATCAAATTATTAACAAATTAAACACTTTAATCCAGGATATGTGAGTCAGTATGACACAAAAAGTTACAGCCGTAGCCATCCCTAGGGTTTTAAAGTGTCGAAAAATTCGGGAAAAATTGAGAAAAATTGTTTTTTTTTTTGTTTTTTTCAGGCCTTGGAGATTTTTTTTTTTTATAGAATTGGTTTTTTTGAAAATATACACATTTAAAAAAAATCTTAACATTATTTTGATAAAAAAAATCCTTTATCTATTTTGCGTTCATAATGACTTCATTATAACACCACTTTCGGTGCTATAATGAGATACTTTATCCCACCCAAAATTTTGATTTTATAGTAGGGATAGAACGATATCACTTTTTTTTGCCGATACGATATATCGGCCGATACCGATATTTACGTGCCGATATACCGATATATCGTATCGGCAAACATAATGCCATCTATTTATACACGACCGAAGCAAAAATCGGGGAAGTCCCGTTTTAATTCCGTTGCGAGGAAACGTTTGTGATTGGTAGTGAGTGACATTTCGGATTTCTGGGAAGCCCCTTATACAGTGTGTATTAAAACGAATAGATACACTTAAATAAAACAAGTGCCAAACCCCGCCCACTGTGGTAGGGATTGAGAATTTATAGGTTTTATTTTTATCGAATTCGTTTGTTTTGTTTTAATGCATTTCTGCAAATAAAAACTAAGTATTGTTTAAAATCCATTAAATTACAGTTAATGGCAAAAATGTATTTCTTAAAAACTATACACATTTCCCTACGACAGCGTCGGAACTACTGAACAAACACAGTAGATCAAACTGCATGTCGCGCTGTTGCATATGCTAGTATTGTTTCCTAAAAGGGTTGTTTTTCTTATTTTTTAATATTAAAAGTAAGAAAATTAACTAAATCAAATTGCACTAAAGAGTGAAAAGCGCAATTTTTTTTGCCGATATATCGGCAATTATCTTGCCGATACGATACGATACCGATAATTGGAAACAATTGCCGATATGCCGATATACCGATATCAATATCGGTATCGTTCTATCCCTATTTTATAGGTTCCCTATACTTTAAACATCATAATATTTTGCATATTGGTTATAATATTTTTATGATTTTTCTAGTACTTATGAGACTTTTCTGGCAATAAATTTTGTTTAACACCAAAGAAAATCCTTTTTTTCTTCTTTAACATTAACTGCCGCTTATTGTAAATAAGTAAATTAAGGACGGCATGGCGAATCGATTTTGACATTAACTGTCAAACCAATGACTGTGATACCAACTAAGTATCTAAAGTAAAATTCGACCAAATTAAATTTAATGTATAATAATTTTTTTTATAGAATTTTTGCAAAATAGATAAAATAGCATAAAGAACTCATGTCATAAGACCTTTTGTTTTTGCAAAAAGAAGTGCATTGAAAATATCCAATTACAAAATAATGAATTAAAGTTAAAATTACAAAATTATAGTTTTACAAATCGTGTCACATAAAACGAAAGTTATGTTAATAGAAAAAATAGAATCTTACTGAACTAAAATAAAAGGAATAATTATTATATTCATCATAATATTACCTATATTACATGATTATAATCAGCGTCGGAAATTCATTTTTTGTCGATTTTCAGAAAAATTTTCTCAATTTTTTCGCTGGCTCATTTATTCCGGAAATTCTTACAACACAATTCTAATAAAAGTTATATAAACAAAAAGGCATAATAAACAATAATAATAATGCTTTATTGAACTAAAACCAAGTTCAAAGGCTATTGACCGTAGTCCTTCAGCCGAATAACAAACAAATTAATTAAAAATAATCAAAACACTTTAGTTTTTAGCTCTTTAAATTACGTGGAAAAAATTACTTTTATTATTTTGAAATGTTATATTATATTGAATTATTGAACAATTTAAATCTTCAATGGAATGTTTTTAGTGGATTTTTTGTATCATGTTTATAAAAGTTTACAAAAAATATTGCTTTTCATGTTGATTAGTTTTTAATATTTTAAATAGTATTGTTTGTTTTCCGAAATGGTTTACACAACGGCCGAACGAGTTGAAATTATTTTTATTTATGTTTCACAAAATCGTTGTGCTCCACGAACTGCAGTGGCATTAAATGAACTACACCCTGGAAAAAATGTGCCTCATAAATAAACTGATGTGCAAAATTAAGGCACCACTTTTTCAAAGATCTATAAAATTTGGATAAAATAGTCTAAAAAGTTCGAACTTTAGGCTGTAAAATATCCACTAAAGGACTTTTAATTCAAAAAACTACAATTTTTTTAATGTAATGGTCAGGGCCCAAAGTCCCGAGGCTCATAAAATGCTCTTTTTAGTTTTTTTCAATTAAAAAATTAAATTTTTCATCATATACCTTTTAATACTTTTAAATAATGCGATATAACAATTATTGTAATCTCGAATATCTCGGAAACGGTTTATTTCATCAAAATTTGAGAGGTACACCTTTTTAATGGTAGCCGAACTGTGTAATCGAAAAATTGCATCACTGGCTTTTGGAGATTCGGATACTCTGTTGTAAAATACTATATTTTCTTAACAAAAACCCAATAAATTTGTTTTGACCTTATATTTCAAGTACCCTTTTCAAAATTAACTTATTTCGCACATGCTGAGGATTTCTAAACCTTTCTAAGTAACTTCTAACTGCGGCTCTTTCCAAGATTTATTTTAACCGTCTTTTCCAACATTCTCCCTATTACAGGACGATCGGAATAGCGCAGGCTAGCTCCCTAGCATTGCGCTTATACTCCCCGTAAATACCACATTACCACCTAGTAAAGCTCTTAAGCTTACTTAACTATTCAAAATACACAGGTCTACACCCAG